GTCGTCCAGGCTGCTTCTCGGACCCGTGCTGATCTTCCTTGGCACCAGACCTGCTTTCCTCTCACTGTCCCCAGTGCCGGTCCCCTCCCCATCCGCCTGCAGGGGCAGCGCTCCCATCACGGCTCCTCCCGCCCCACAATGGAGGCCGGGACACACCTCTGCAGCCCGAGTGTGTGCGTGCACAGGAGGGCCCCTCCACTCCTGCAGACGCATGTCCTCACCTGACACCTGACACACAGACACATGCGCGCACACACGTGCACACACGCACACAGGGACACACATGTGCACACACGGACACACGTGCACACACGGACCGACATGCGCACGCGGACACACGCACAGACACATGTGCACACAGGGACACATGCACAGACACATGTGCACACACGCACACAGGGACACACGCACAGACACATGTGCACACACGCACACAGGGACACACACGGACACACACAGCCGCCCTGAGGCGGGTGCTTTTTCCCTGGAGGACCTAGGTGCTTCCAAGGCACCCTCGTGCAGAGAGGGGTCCACTCACCGGCCCAGACCTGCCCCGTCGGGGTCTCCGGCCCCTAACCCGGCCCTGCCCCCCAGGGTGCCGACAGCGCCGGAGGCCCCACAGAGGGGCCGGGCCTGTGGGAACTGACCTCCCTGGGCCGGGGGGCGGGGCTAGCACCGAGCGGCCCCGCAGGGCTGCTGGCCTGTGTCTCCAGCAGGAGGATGGGGGAGACTGGAGCCTGCTTCACGGGTCAGGAAAGCCCTGGCTGGGGTTTCCGACCTCCCCGAGCAGGCCCCACCCCAGCCCCACACCTCCTCCGAGGCCTGGGCGGGGCCCTGCTGCCCCCACGTGTGCCGGAGGGGAGGGGGCTCGCCCCCCAGCGCCTGAGGGCTCAGCCGGGTGGGGGAGGGGCAGCAGGGCTTCCAACCCCCTGCGGGGGCCGCCGCAGGTCTGGCAGGAGGCTCGCAGCCCTGCCTGGGCGCTCCGAGTTGACAGATGACCCAGGGCCCCTCCAGAGCCACCGGACAGCGTGGGAGAGCGAGGTGGAGGGCAGACCCAGGCAGCGCCTAATCGCTTCCTCCGCAGCCGCCTGTCCACGCACGGGTGTCGGGCCCGCCCCGCCCCCCAGGGGCCTTTCATAGCAGCCCTTTGTCCCTGCGCCCATCACCATTTGTTGGGGCGGCTCTGGGGGGTCATGGTGCACAAACTGGCCCAGGGAGGCCTCTGGACCCAGCGGTCTCAGGACCTCAGGCAAGGATGGCGGGGCGGGTGGCGCCTGGCAGGCACCAAATGGGGCCAAGGGCCTGGGAACACACTGGTATCCTGCAACGGAGAACTGCTGTGCCCCCCAGGCCTCTGACACGAGTGGGAGACGCTTGCCAAGTGCAGAGTGGGAGGTGTCTGCGCCCCCCGCCCCACGCAGAGTGTGGGGGCATCCTCGAGCCCCGCCCCATGCAGAGTGGGAGGCGTCTGCGACCCCCCGCCCCATGCAGTGTGGGGGCGTCTGCGACCCCCCGCCCCACGCAGAGTGTGGGGGTGCCTGTGACCCCCGCCCCACTCAGAGTGGGAGGTGTCTGCGACCCCCGCCCCACACAGAGCGTGGGGGCATCTGCGACCCCCGCCCCAGGCAGAGTGGGAGGTGTCTGAGACCCCCCCCACCCCACGCAGAGTGAGAGGCGTCTGTGACCCCCGCCCCACGCAGAGTGGGAGGCATCTGCGAGCCCCCGCCCCACACAGAGTGGGAGGCGTCTCTGACCCCCGCCCCACGCAGAGTGGGAGGCATCTGCGAGCCCCGCCCACATGTGCTTGTGTGAAAGTGATGTTTATTTTTTTCTACTTTGTTATGCTTTGCTGTAAATTTGCTCTAAATGAGCACTAAGAGGCATTATTCTAGAGCATGTCATAGCTTCTCAGCCCAACCCCCCATCTTCCCTGCCTGTGGGGCCTCCTGGGCCTGGGTACCAGGCTGACCGCATCTCTCATCCTGGAGGGCCTAGCTCCCGCTGGGGGTGGGCACAGGGCCTGTGGGGGTCCCCAGGGCGCCAGCCTACTGGGAGCACAGTCCCGGCCTGCTGCTGGCAGGGCAGGGAGCCTTGCCCAGGTCCTCGGAAGTGGCTCCCTCCACTAGGCTCCCAGCCTGCGGCCCTGCCCCCTCAGGAGAGCTGCTTCTATCATGCCCTGTGCCCCGGCGGCCCCCGGTGTGGCCCAACGCCCCCCCACCATCCCCCGACTTGGCCCAGGACTGGTGGAAGCCTAAGGTTGTTCACAGGCAGTTTGCAGCAGCCCGTGGGCAGGAGCATGGGTAAGGATAAGGCCCCTGGCACGCAGGCCTGGCCTTCCCGCTGGCTTCTGTGGCCTGGCCAGGCCCATGGTGACAGCCCTCCCTGGCCCCTGACACCAGTGCACCAGCCGCCCCCACCGTGTGTGCGCCCAGGGCTGGTGGGAGCAGGCGTGCCTGGAGACACACAACTCGGGACAGACCCGTGACCTCCCTCTCGGCAGGCGCTGCTGGATGCAGCCGGGGTCCCTGGGCTCAGAGCTGAGAGCAGGCCTGCTCGCGGACAGGCTCCCAGTGCCTCTTCAGCTGTCCCCCCCCAGCTCTGTCTCAGAGGCTCACAGACCCACCAGGCCCATCGAGGGCTGGGGTGCCTCCCAGGGAAGTAAGTGGCCGGAGCAGCCCCTCGCCGCCCTCCTAGGGCTGTGGAGGGTGGGCTGCCCGGCCATGCCGGCCTGGCTTTGGGTCCTGGGCCACCACCAGCCCCCTGGGCCGGTCCCTGCTGGTGTCCTCACCCCCGGGAGGCAGCCTCCCTGACAGTGGGCTCCAGCCCCTGCCTAGGAGGTCCTCACTCCTGCCGAGTTGGGCGGCTCAGCGAGCATGAGCTCCAGACAGCCTGGGCGCCGTGGGAGCCAGGCCCAGGCGGACCCCAAGATGGGGGAGCCAGGAGCCTGCCCATCCCTCCTGCCCCCACTCACCCACCCGGCCAGGCTCTGGGGGTGGAGGCCCACCCTGCCCTCAGGCCCCCAGCCTGGATGGGGTCCCAGAGACCTCGAGGGACCCAGGAGACCACACTGTTCAGGGCACCCACAGCCCCCTGCTGGTATCTGCCCAGATTCGCTGACGTCCGAGCCTGGGGTCTGCACAGCCCCTGCAGGGAGTGGGCCTGGCTCAGACACCACCTGCCTACACCCGCACAGCGGGGTGAGGCCCCTGCCAGGCAGGGGTGCCCGGCCAGCAGATGGGTGACCGTGAGCAGGTTCCTCAGCCCCTGGGAAGCTCCTTGAGAACAGGGTCGGAGGCTCCATCCTCCCCTGTGGGGCAGGGGGACGGGCTCTCAGCCTCTGACTGGGTGTGCGCTGCGCCCCCGGCTCTGCTCGGGGCACCGGGCAAGGGCGGCTGGACCCTGTGCTGGACAGGGATGCCTCCTACAGATGGGGGCCGCACGACGGGGCTGGCGGGCGGGCGGGCGGCTCAGAACCGGCTCTTCCAGCCGGGCGTGGCGGTGGGGGCAGGGGTGACCGCCGGGCCCGGCCGTGGGCAGCGGCCGTGGGAAAACCGGCACCATCGCTTCCCGAGGGTGGGGCGGGCCTCGAAGGGCACTGAGCGTTTGTCTGCGCGTGACTCAGCGTGAGCTGGCGCCCCGCCCCAGCGCGCGCCACTGGGTGCTGGGAAGGCCGCAGACCCCATCAGCGGACCCCACCCCACCGGGCTCCCGCACCTGCTGGTGCTGACCCTCGGGGGGCCTGGGCAGGGAGAGCCCGGCCCTGGGCAGGCAGCCCAGCCGGGAGGCCAGCTGGCCCGCCTCTTTGCAGCTCCTCCCTGGCTGGGCCTGGGGTGACCGCCAGCCTGACATGCAGCCGGGCCCTGCCCACGCTCCTGCCCGCTCGGCCCTGGTATCTGCGATGAGAAGGCAGAAGCACCCAGGTGTCTCCCTGCGCTGGAGTCTTGCCGGGGGAGAGGAGGCCCTCCAGGGGGCTCTGGGGAATCGGCCTCGCCCCCCAGAGGTGGCCCTGCCGTCTGGCACCTACTGTGCCACCTGCTGTGGCACCCCTGGCCGTGATGCTGGAGGCCGAGCTCCATGATGAAAGGCTTTGGGAGGAAAGAGGGTGTGTGTGGGTGATGCAGGAGCCCCCCACAGTGGCTCCAGGGTCCCCCGCCGCTGCCTGCCCCAGGCAGTCCCCCTCCAGGGACTGATGGGGCTCACCAGGTGAGGGGGGTGCCAGGATCACCAAACAGGCATCCTCCTCCCGTGGACCGGCTCACCCCCTGACAGGAAGCCTTGTGTGCCCATCTGGGAGCCGGTCAGCCCCCCGCCCTCACCCTGCCATCCTGCTTGGCCCACCTTGCCTGCCCCTGGGAATCCTGTGTCTAGGCCCCTGCCAGGCAGTGGCCATCATGAAGTGATGGGGTGGCTGCATCGGGAGGCCCATCCCACCCCTGGGATGGTGAGGTTGGCGGGGCTGAGCCAAGGTCTTCACAGGAGCTCACTGCTAGACCAGGATCCTGCGTGTCTGGGCTCCTGCCCGCACACACTCGGTGCCAGGCAGGCTCCAGACGGTGCCAGGCCCCGGGGGCCGGTGGGGCCAGGTGTCGCTGAGAAGCGTGGACTCCGGAATGGGCCTGGCTGGCTCCAAGATGGGCTGAGGAGGCAGAGCAGCTGTTGGGCCGCCCCCTCGGCTTTCTAATGCTGGGCCTCCGTCCCCCACCGGTGTTGAGCCCTCAGGGGACCAGGCTTGGCTCTGGGGTTGGGGAGGACTGCTGGGTGGTGGTAGAGTCCTGCCAGGGCTCAGGAGTTGGAAGAGGCCGCCCAGGGCCAGCTTGGAGCCCATGCAGTGCGGGAGGGCTCCCCGGAGGTGGTGTGCCCCGTGTCCTGCGGCGAGAGGAAGGGAAACGTCATGTGTCTGTGAAACCCCCTGGGCCGGGCCGGAACCACAGGGAGCACAGGGCTGGGGGCGGGGGGCTTCGAGAATGCCCCGCGGCCCCAGCGCCTCCTCTGCTCCCCAGGCCTGCAACTGTGACCAGTACCTGAGGGTCTCCAAGGACGTGATGAAGCAGCTGGTGCAGCTCAGCGTCCACCCAGGAGGCTCCGGTGGTGCCGGTGAGTGGGGCTCCTAGGGGTCTGTGGGAGGTGGCCCCACCGCTGGGTGCTCCGGGGGCCGGCGTACTCAGGCTGCCAGGGCAGTGCCCACAGGCAGGGGAGCCAGTGCCTGGGGCCAGCAAGGGGGCTGGGACCCCAGGCCCTCGGGGCCCCTGGGGTCATGGCCCCTGCTTTCTCCCCAGTGGGCCCTGCTCAGTCACCCTGCCCCACGCGTGGAGTGTACACGCAGACACACACACGTGCACCTTGCAGGCAAAGACACATGCTCAGCAGCACGTGCATGCTCACACGCCTGCCTGTGCATGCTCAGCCATGTGCACACACATGTTCACCTGCTGGCCCTTGCATCACAGGCCTTGCCAAGCAGCAATCTGAACGTTGGGGAACCTGGGTGCCCGGGAAGGTGGGTGAGCCCCGGGCATCCAGATCAGGAGCCCAGCCTCAGCTTCCCTGCGTGGCGGGTGGGCGGGAATGGAAGAAGGGCCTCTTGGGACCGCCAAGGGGGAGCCTGAGCCCAGGGTGCCCCGGGCGCCTCTGCACCATCGGTGCCCGGGTGCCGTCTTCTCTGCTGGCCGCTCCTATCCTGCCCGCATCCCTCAAAGGTTCGGGGCCACACATGGTGGGTGAGCGCTAGTGATGACCAGTGTCCAGCGCTGGGCAGCTCTCTGCTCTCCAGAGTGTGGCTGCGACTTGCTTGAGGTGAGGGGGGGAGGGGCGGGGCATGAGCAGTGGCCGCCATAGGGGGCCCCCGACACCCCAACCAGAGGCTCGGCCTGGCCCTGGGCAGCAACCCTCGGGCTGTCAGGTGAGGCCTAAGGTTGTGGCCTTGCTGGGCTCCACAGAGGCAGCAGGACTGGGTGGGGGGGCCGCCTCCATTCAGACTCCGGCTGCAGTTAATCTGGAGCCAGCTGCAGGGAGATGTTTGCCGAGCAAATTACCAGGGTCAGCGGGCCTGGGGCCTGTTCTCCCACCTGCTGGCAGGGCCCTCCGCGGGGGTGGGCCTCTCGCGGGGTCTCTCCTGCACCCCGAGGCCCCGCGGTCCCCTGGGCCCCTGCCCGCTCCACCCCGCCCTGTGCTGGCTGGTTGCGAAACTCACTGCTTGGCAGTGGGCTTATCTGCTCATCGCCACGGATGGGCCGCCCCCGCCCCTCCCGGCCCACGGTTCTCAGGCCCCCAAGTGCCCTAATCAGCCGATCTTGTGCCCAGAACTTGTTTCCCAAGGACCTTTGAGCCCCAAGAATGTCCCAAGGTGTGAGTTCCCATGGGAGGGAACTGGGCTGGCACAGAGAGTCTTGGCCCCCTGCCCTTTGCCCTCTCCCTGCAGGCACTGGGGGCTGGGCACTCGGAGGTGTCTCGTGGGTGCTGGGGCCACCCGCCCTTCCCTGGGACTGACCCTGATGTCCTTGATTGACAGGCAGTGAGGCCCCCCACAGCGATGGTGAGCAGGAGACAGGTGAGCCCTGGGGCCACCCACCAGGGACACAAGGAGCCCCGGCATCTGGAACCCCAGGATGGGGGAGAGGGAATGGCCCTGTGCTCCATGGGGAAGGCAGTGCCAGGGAAGGCCAGGAAGAAAGAGGCCAGTCCCCTGTGACCCACAGGGTCCCTGGTAGGAGAGGCCGGGGGCGGGCGGCTGGGGGCTGAGGGAGGAGCCGCCGAACAGTGTGGGATGGGGGCAGCCTGCCTGAGGGAGGGGCTCAGGGTGGCCGCTTCCATGTCCAGGCTCAGCCCTGGAGGAGGCCCCCGAGGGCTGCACCTACGACCCCCCTTGCCGTTGGCTGGAGGACACAGACCTGCAGACCCGCGTGCCGGCCACGCTGGCCAACGGCACCCAGCTGCAGCTGGCGGGCGTCCCAGCGGGCGTGCTGCGGCGGCCCGGGCTGCAGCATTTCTACTGCTGCACCGGCTGCGGCAAAGTCTTCTGGGAAGGCTCCCACCTGGCCCGAGTCACCAGCAACTTCCAAGAGGTCCTGGAGGGCGCCCCCTGCCCGGCCGGCGGCCCCTCCTGAGAGAGGGTCCCAGGCTGCCTGGGGTAGAGGTGCAGAAGCCGCACAGGTGGCGGCTGTGGCTCCTTCCTCCGGTCTCCGCTCACGCCACGCCCCGCGCTCGCCATCCCCTCGCAGCCTCAGGGCCGGACTCAGGTGGCCCCCCAAACCTGCTGGAGCTCAGTGGGTGGGAGGTCGGGGTCCCCCCACTGTGCTGTGGCCGCTCCCATCGCCTCCTCCACCAGGCACCCCCCAGGACGAGGGCCAGGGCCCCAGGCCCCTGGGACAGGGTCTTCCCTGCTTTCCCCCAGCGAAGCCAGCCATGGGACTCCCCTGGGACGTCAGACTCCAGCGAGCACAGGAGGTGGTCCTGGGGGACAGACAAGCCCCTGCCCAGCCAGGCCATGACCCCGCGTGGCCTCAGCCATCAGGCTGGGCGGCCCCCGCTCAGGTCTTCGCCATGTAGAAGGCCCTGAATACACGTGCGTTGGAGCCTCGTCACAAGGAAGGAGGTAGCTGCCCTCTCGCCCAGGGAGACACAGGCTCAGACCCCGCGCTGACCCCAGGGGGGCTCATGTGAGCAGCGGGCCTGGGCCCAGACCACGGCCTGCCCTCGCCTGCCTCCCCCTGGCTCAGCCCCAGGAATGCGCACCCACCCTGGCCCACATCCCTTTCCTGTCCTTCCTGCCCAGAGCGGAAACCAGCAGAGATTTGGCCGCGGGGCCGGGCGTCTGCACCCTCTGCCCCGCCCCCGTGTTCCTGACCACACCAGGGACGGCCGTGGCCTCTGAGCCCCCCGGGGTGTAGCCCCCGCCGTGTGTTGGGCGCGGACCCACTCAGCCCCCAGCAACACTGGGCCTCACGGGCCGGGGCACAATCCACAGATGGGTCACCCCCTGGGGTTGAGGGCGGTGTGCTGGGGCCGCTCTGCCCACTGGCTCCCCTCTCCCCTGAGGTCACTGGGCCTGGGCTGAGCAGGGGTGCCAGGGTGACTGGGTCCCCACGGGGGCGGGGACCCCCTGCAGCTAGGGTCCCGCCTCCAGGAGCAGGACCTCCGGCCCCACGTCCTGTCCTGGGACAGCAGCCCCGACCACTCCTCCCCCGCAGGGTTAGGGTTAGGGCAGGAAGCAGGGTGGGGGGGGTCCCAGCCAGCTGCGTCCTGGGGACTCTGCCCTGACCCGCGGCCCCAGACAGACAGAGGCCAGGGCCACAGGCTCGGGGGGCCGAGCCATGTCCTTTCAGGCTGCCATGCGGGTCCACCCCAGCCCCGCCCAGCACTCCACGGAGAGGAGAGGCCAGCTGAGCAGGACCCGGTCCTCAGGCCTCGCAGCCCCGCCGGGCCTGCCTCCCGCCCCCGCCCTCTGCTGCCAGGCCGGCTGCCTGCGTCCGTCCGTCCATTCGTCCGGGGACTCCCAGACTCACAGGCTCACTGCTAGCCCGTCCAGGCCCCGGCCCCCTCCCTGGCCCTCGGCCTGCGGGAAGCACCCTCCGTGCCCGCTCTGGGCTAGGGGTCAGACGCTGGGCCGGCAGGGTGGGCTGCGCCCGGGTGCCAGGCCTCGGGGACTGTCTGCCGCAGTTCCTGCCCCGGGCTCCTTCCTCCGCGGCCGCTGGCCCGGGGCTGGTGTTTGTTATTTGATCTCTATCCTCGCGCCCTTCTACCAGGTGTCTGGGCTGCTGGGAAGAAACGCTCTCCTCTTTCCCACGCTCCCCGACACATTTTAATGAATTAGCTAGAAGCCCCGCCCCGCGGCCCGCAGCCTGCTCAGCCTCCCTCCCCTGCCGAGCACGTTAAGGTGGCCGCGGCCTCCTGGCTCCGGCCAGTGCCCCTCCCAAGCTGTCCTCCCCGCCGCCCCACCCAGCCCTCCCCAGCCCGGGTTGGGGGGGGGGCTTCCTGTCACCCACTGCTCTGAGCCTCTAAAGGAAAGGGGTCCCCCGGGGGAGGAGGCTGTCCTCCAACCCTGGACTCCTCCTGGGGTCGCACCCCTGGGCCAGCTCCCAGGAGGACGTCGGTTTAGCCTTGTAGTCAGCGTTGGGCCTGTCACCCCAGATCCGAGGTTGAGGGCTTCTCCTTCCCAGCCAGTGAGCCCCTTGTCTATTTGTGGAAATGACATCACCAATGCCACAGACATCAGGAGCTTCTCCAAGCCCCAGGACAGGGTCTGGCGGGGTCCCCAACCCCCGCCTCCCCGCCCAGCACATCATTTGGAACAAATGTCCTCCTTTTGGACATGTCCTTCAGCAAACATCAGGAAGTGCTTCCTGGAGCCAGCGCCCCCCCACGCCCCTCTCTGGTCCTGTCCTTGGACGGGCAGCTCTGGGCTCACGGTGTGTGGACCACAGCCACCCCGAGCACAGTTCCCCTCAGCCACAGAGGAGCAGGAGCCATGGGCTCCTCGCGGACAGGGTGGCCATCACCCTGGCCCCACAAATGAGCAAAGGGCTGGGGGCTGGGTGACTGCAGGGCTACACCTGTCTGACCCGCACTCTGAGGCTGGGGGTGGGGTCGGGGGGCATGGCAGTGACCTCAGGCTGGGCTCCTGTGGCCTCTCTGGGCACACCGTCCCTGCCCGGGGGCACCGAGCTGACAATTTCATGCCCCGAGGTGGTGGCCTCGCGTTCCCACACTGAGTTCACAGGGCCCCTTTGTCTGCCGCCCGCTGCGGTGTCAATGGGACTTTTCTCCCAGGCTCTGCTCCCGGGCCCAGCAGGGTCTCCAGACGCTCTTCTCCAGGCCAGGGGGGCCTGAGCCCCCCACCTGGGTGGGGCCTCGCTCTGTGAACCCACCACCTTCTGGGGATGGGCCTGGGCGCAGCCGGGCCCGGCAGATACACAAAAAGCACAGACGCAGACCCGCCCTCAGAGTGCCAGCCCCTCTGTGCCACTCCAGGGAGCGGGTGCGGGGTGGCTGGGGCCCCGCAGGTCTCGGCACTGCGCAGGGTCACCCCTTCCCACTCTGGAGGCAGACATGGGCCTCTCTCCGAACTACAACTCGTCTCGGGCTGGTGGGGAGGGCGGCTGGAGGTGGGCAGGGATCCCCACTCTCAAGGTGGTCAGCTCAGCAGCCACTGACCCCAGACCCCCTTACTGGGCCCAGGGGACGTATCTTTGCAGGATAAGTGGGCAAAGGAGGGGCTCCCCAAAGCAGCAGCACCCCAGTCACGCCAGGGCCAGGCTGAGCACAGGGCCTGGGCCGGGTCTGTGCTCAGCTCAGGGCATAACCACCTGCGTACTGGGGAGCAGAGCTGAGCAGGGGGCTGGACCGCCAGCCTCAGGAAGAACAGGGCAGGGGCCTGGGTGGCCCTGGCCACCGGAAGGACCCCAAGGTGGGGCAGCCAGGGTCTGAGGTCTTGCCTAGTTCGTTCTGCGGTTTGGCTGTGACTCCTCCCAGGTCACAGAGCAGGGGCGGGCGCTTCACCCACGTGGGTCTCCAGGCCTAGGGGACATGGGACAGACACCCACCCAGTTCATCACCAAACAGGGCCTAACAGGGTGGTCTCCCCAGCTGCCTCCTGGGAATTCCCAGCGGCCTCTGAAGGAATTCCAGTGGCTGCAGTCGCCCCGGGCCGACTGCTCTGAGGTTCATTCCTCCTTAATTTCCAACGACCACAGCAGAGCTATAAACTGTGAAATTCTAATGAGGAAATTTGGCGGCAGTGTTAGAGTGTCAATAAAAAGCAGGTTTACTGTTTAGAAGTGAGTCATTTCAGAGTTCCCTTTCAGCATAGCATTGGCACCTCACCTGGGGCCGCTCACCTGGCCAGGCCTCACCTGGCCCAGTTCCTGCTGATGGGGTCGGCCCAGGAGAGGAGGCAGGCCCCTCCAGGGCGGAGTGGCTGACTGCCAGGCCAACCCCAGCCCCGGGGCCACAGACTCGATTCTGCTGGGGCAGTGCTGAGAAAACCTCAGGGCCTGGCTCCTCTTGCCAGTCAAGTTAGGGAGCTAACGGGGTGACCGAGGCCCCCGGGGGAGCGGTTCTCCAGCGGAAAGGCCCCGCGTGGCTGAGGTCACAGGCCCGAGATGTCCTAGAGTTGTCGCTCTGGGGGAAATGTGTCCCACGGGCCGGGCTGGGCGAGCCTCGTCCCTGCGAGCGCCTGAGGTGCTGGGGACGTGGAGTGCCCGAGACCAGCACTCCAGGAGCGGGGAGCGAGACTGGGGGTCTCTACCAGAGCCCCGCCCCCCCCAGTCTGAGATGCCAGCAAAGACCCAACCAGAGGAGGCGGCCCTCGCGCCCCTCGGGGCCGCGCTAGGCCCTGGGCTGGACCTGCTCTGTCCGCGCACGGAGCTTGGAATTCCCCGGGTGTCTAGAGGGAGCGTGGGAGGGGCGGCGGCGGAGACTCGGACCCCCGCCCACCCGCGGCCACCTGGCTCCCAGCCCCGCGCCGCTTGGGGGCCCGCGCCGAAGCCGCCGCCCGCGCTGAGCCGCGGCCCGCGCCTGGCAGAAGCATGAGCCAAGCCGAGCTGTCCACCTGCTCGGCGCCGCAGACGCAGCGCATCTTCCAGGAGGCCGTGCGCAAGGGCAACACGCAGGAGCTGCAGTCGCTGCTGCAAAACATGACCAACTGCGAGTTCAACGTGAACTCGTTCGGGCCGGAGGGTCAGACTGCGTTGCACCAGTCGGTCATCGACGGCAACCTGGAGCTAGTGAAACTGCTGGTCAAGTTTGGCGCGGACATCCGCCTGGCAAACCGCGACGGCTGGAGCGCGCTACACATCGCCGCGTTCGGCGGCCACCAGGACATCGTGCTCTATCTCATCACCAAGGCCAAGTACTCCGGCGGCGGCCGGTGATGCCGGTCCAGACCCCGGCCCGCACGCTGGCCCCGCGCGCGTCCTCCCTGCTGTACCTTCCCGCCAACTACCTCGGTGTGCGCCCGGCCCTCGGCGCCCGCGGCCACCACGAGTCCGGCGCGCACGTCCGTGCCCACCGGGGACCGCGCACGCCCGAGACCGGGGGCCGGGGCCGCCTCCCCCCGCGGCCACCGGGGACCGGCCGGGGCGCTTCCCACGGCCCCGCCCGCCGCCGCGCGGGTGGGGGAGGAGCGCGAGCCCCAGCCCCTTTGAAATTTGAGTCTCGCCACCACCAAGTTCGGAATCCCGAGATACCGGATCCTCCTGCTCGAAATGTTTTCTCCCGAAGGTGGAAGGACCCGTGGCAGACGCGCGACGGAGGAGACGCTCTGCCGTTCCCGGGGCTCTAAACTATTTATCACGTGTGTGCATATTTGTGGGTGATGTTTGTGCGCCTGAATTTCGTGTTTGGAAAATATTGTGCGTGGTCAATGTGTTTAAGCGGGGGGTGAGCTGGGAGATGTACTTTTTTTTTTTTTTTTTAGTCTTAAAACTAAAAACTTGAGTCTTGTCATTTCTTGGTTGCACTGAAAATACCGCCGGCCTGATGGTTCCCCCGCGCTGCTCCGTCCCCTCCGGCTTCTCCCCCTCACCTCCCCTCCTCCGCCCGCCCCGCCTTCCCCTCTCACACACACGATTCCGCGTGAGTTTTGGAAGCCCCGGGTCCCCCTCCCCCTTCTCCGGTGAGAGGTCGCCATCCGCCAAGCCTGCCGGTTTGCAGAGCTTCCGTGGGAGCCTGGGTGCTCGGGTGTGGCGGTGACGGAGGTAGGGATCAGCCTTTCTAGTTAGTTCTATTATAGTTAACAGTCGATTGCACACTTTTTTAAAAAAAGTAAATGGATTTGCCACAATTAAATGTCATAACATTTATGACAATATAAAATATTAACATATTTTAAGCCAAGTTTTAGGTGTATTTTTTGAATCTTGGTTATAGACCCAATTTTAAAGGGCGTTGTATCCAGCGTTGTGAAGGCAACTGTACCCATATTTATATTTTTATAAAATGCCTATAAGACTGTGAATCTCTTGTGCTACTTGCCGAGTGAGCTGAAGGGCCCCTTTACCCCTCTTCAGCCTCCCAGAGCTTCCAGGACCCGATTCGAATCCGAAAGCCCAGCCAGGCGGGAGGGGCCGCGCGAGGACCCAGGCCGGAGGCCTTCCCTCTGCGTCACTCTTAGTCCCGAAAGGCGCCCTTCCTGGTCTCCGAGATTCCAATTTTCTATGCAACCCCACACCCCTTGTTGTTTTGATCCTGAGAAATAAAAGGGAGGCTGAATTATTCAAATTTAAATGAGGCTTCCCTAGGGTAGAAGTGCTGCTGACCCTTCGTGCAAAAATGGGGAGCACTTGAGGACACAGGTGGGTGGAGGCCCTTTGTGCGTGGCTGGTCAGATTTGGGCAGTCATCTGTGGCTTTTTATAAAACCTTGTGTGAGAAGAATATATTGATAATGTCAGTGAAAAGCAGACATTGAAACTGAGGCACAGATTACTCCAAGAGGAGTTTTTCTGTATATTTTTTTCTAGATGCAAATACCTTTTTAATTATGTTAATTAATGTTAAGACTCTAGGCTTATGTGGAAGCTGTGTGTGGGTCCCCGTGTGATCACTTCTAACTGGATGAAGTCGCAGCACATTCCTGAGTGTACGATATAGACTTGTAGCCCAGCGTGGAAAATTTATAAATAAATTTTTCATTGATCTTTTTTATTAAAAAAAAAAGTCTGTTGGTTCTTCTTGGGCTTGGCATGGGATGAGAGTCAGGCTGCAACGTGCTGTTTGCAGTGACAACCACGCAGTGCTTGGCTTGTCTCCACTGCAAGACAGAGCCTGGGAAGCTGGCTCTGGGCTCAGCTCAGAGGCACCGCAGTGGCCACGCAAAGGGCTTGTGAGGACCCCGCCTGCCCATCTTCTTCCAGCTGCAGGAGGGCGGCACCCCAGGGCGCCCAGAGCCACTTCCTCTGCTCCTGGCAAAGCAGCCAAGGCCTCCCCATGGGAGTTCTGCTTGAAACGACCCGCCCCCGCCCCCCCCAAAGCCAGCCTGCCAGGGCCCCTCTGGTCTCCTGGCCCCCAGCTACTAGGGGTTTCTGCTGGACCACCTGCTGCACAGAAAGGGTACCCTCCAAATGTCGGGGGGCTTCTGATGACTGTAAGTCCCCCCCTTCCCCTCTGGCCCCTAGTGGCTCCTGAGAGTCAAGGCCAGCATGCCCCAAGCAGCCACTGCCCCAGGGCACAGACCCTGCAGGCCACTCTGGTCCACCCCTGGGGCTGGCATAGGAGGGGGTGCAGGGCACAGACAACCACCCCCTGCTCCCCCAGCCTTCCTTCCCCTGCAAGAGCCACCTGCCCAGAGGGGACTGGGAGAGCCAGGCCTCAGAGTTTTAACTTGTTCTTTCAGACACCCCTTCCAGAAGCACGAGGGTGTCGGCTTCCCCTCAGGAGGGTTACCGATACATTATGTACCCAAGACACAAAGACGCATTGTCATTTCCCGGTTCCTACTTTGCGTCTCCAGCTCTGTTCTGCCCTGAGGATTTTCCAAGGGAATTTTCAGTTGGTTAAACAGACATTCACGGACCCCCAGCTGGCCCACCCGATGGGCCGGCTCCCTCCTAAAACACCGCAGAGATGAACCGAATATTTGACGCAAATGGGCCCCCAGGGGAGGTGGTGTCCACCTGGCCACTCAGGTCAAGTGAGAAGGTCTGCCCCGGGGGGAGGGGTGCCTGGCCCCAAAGGAAAAGGTGCTGCAAGAATTTGGACACCGTTGGGGTATCTGGCCTGGGTACTACCTGGCCACCCAAGTGGCCGGACCACAGTCTCCACTTCCCATGTTGACACCTCAGGGGAGAAAGTCAAAGCTATCAACAAATGAAGGGAGGGTGCAGGCTCCTGCCGCAGGCCCCCAGCTGAGCGGTCAGGGCCGGGCGCTCACAGCGGTGAGCTGGCCAGCGCTTCACCTGGGGTCCCCACCACCCCACCTCAAGCTTCAGATGCAGGAACAGCTCTTCAAGCCTCTTGGTGGCCTGGGTGACAAAGAGGTGCAGTGACCTCCTGACCCGGCCTCCAGGATCCCACGGTGTGTGCGAGGAGGGCAGGCCTCCGGGCCAGGGCACCCAGGGGGGAGCGGTCTGGCAGGCAGCCCTTGGGCCTCTGGGAAGCCCCGGAGTGGCTGCCGTGGAGGAGGCAGACAGACCAGCGACCAAGGGCAGGGCGGGAGCCCTTCTCCCGGCCAGGACTGCTGGCAGCTCCTGGCCACTGTCAGGCTCTCTGACCTAAGCCCGGCGGAACTCAGGAAGTGTTTACTGTTGAAAGGGATGCCAGAGAGACCAGGAAATGCAGGGAAATGGTCAGCCAGAAAGAGTGATCTCCAAAGCCAGCAGGCGTGGGAGCCAGGACAGAGCCGGCCAGAGCTGAGAGCGGGGGCGGCGGGTGAGGAGGGCGAGGGGGCCGGCGGCCCTCAGGCTCTGCCCCGCAAAGGCCCTGCGGTCAGCACAGGCCGCTCAGCCGCGTGCACACGGGCAAGGGCCGCGGCACGCAGGTCAGAGCTGCGAGAGGCAAGCGCCTCCTCGGGCCGCGTGGAGCCTGCGGGAGGAGGCCGGCTTGCCAGGCTCTGGGGGCAACTGGGAAACAAAGCCCGAGGCCAGAGTCTGCCCGCGCGGCCCCGGGAGGTCTGGGAACCGCCGAGGGCGCCTCCCGAGGCCTCCTGGGCACCCCCTCCCGGGGCTCCTGGGTTTGGGGAAGCCCCTCCCCCACCGCCCCGCCGCGGCCAGCCCGGGCTCCCCTCCTCTCTGCCCGGCGCATTCTTCTGCTTGGCTGTCCGTCGGGTCGCCGCGGCTCGCGTCCGTCTGTCGATCTTTCTTCTCGCGCCCCCTCCAAAGCCGCGGGCCCCATTCATTCCCGAGGCCTCTGCCCTTTCCTGCGCGCGGGTCCGCTCGGCGAGCAGCTGCTATGCTAATGAGGACGGGGCTGGGGGCGGCAGGGATCGGCGGGCGGGGGCGGCGAGGCTGCGGGGAGCGTCCCACTCGCCGCCCGAGGGGTGTGCGGGGTAGAGACCAGCTGTCACCTTGCTCTGGGGTCGCGGCCTGGGGTTGGCCGGCTGGTTCTGGAGGCTCCCGCCCCCGCGCCCACCGGTGCGTCCCCTGCAGGCGGGGGACTGGGCCGAGACGCGGGGCCGAAAGGCCCCGCTGCCCCCCGGCCCGGGAGGTTGGATACTGGCCCCCCGAGGCGGTGCCCGGGGGGGGGGGCCCGGTCGCGGCGAAAGGGGGCGGGGCGAGACGGCCGGAAAGGACACGCGGCGTCCGAGGGGCGACGACTTCTGAAAGCGAGTGTCTTCTGCACCCGACTCTCGGTCCGCCGGCGGGGCGCCCTCGAGCGCAGACAGCGAGCAGCGCCCAAGGCCCGGCTCGGACCCGGGCGGGGAGGCCGGCGGCGCGGGCTGTGCTGCCGCCCCGCGGCCGCCGCTGACACTGCGCCAGGGGCGGGGGCTCCCGGGCCGCACGACCCCCGCCTGCTGCGGATCCCGGCCCAGGGGTCCTCCGCGCACCACCCTCGCGGGCCCGGCGCCTGCGACCTCGTCTTCTGCGAGGAGCCCGGGGCGGCTGAGGGCCGGGACCCTACGGTCAGGGTTCGAGCCGAAGGCGGTCGGGCTGCTCGCAGGCCTGGCTCGGGTGCCCGCGGGGGACAGCGCCCTGCAGGCCCCGGTCGGTCGCCGCTGCGGTGACAGCACCGGCCAGGCCCGGGGGCACCTTGTGGAGGGGCGACCGCGGAGGTCCGCTGCCCGGCGGGTAGGGCGCTGGAGCAGGTCGGCAGTCCAAGGAAGGGGCAGCTGTGTTGACCCTATTGACGGACATTGAAAATGCACAGTTTTCAGTGTCCTGAGCTGAGTTTTATTCAGGATCTTAGGGGGCACTATAGCCCAGGAGACAGCTTCCCATCGCTCTGAGTGA